TGGATGTTAAGGGGCTGGAGGACGCAGCAGGGACGGGGCCATGGCAGTGTAGACGGGGTGGAAGTAGAGGGTGCAGGCAAGAGGGATGAAGTGGGAGACACAAGGAACGGAGACCCTAAGGTTTACTCGGGGTGGCGGTGGGACATGGCGCCAGTATAGGGTGCAGGCAAGAGATGAGGTAGGTGGTAGGGCAGAACACATGGTGACTCCACGTGCTGCATCGGCTATGTGGAATCCCCAATGTGAGGAGGGGGCAGGGATGGGGTAAGCGTTAGAGATATTAAAGGGTGTGGGGCAGACAGAGGGCATGGTGACTCCACGGTGTGCTGCATCGGCTACGTGGAACCCCCATGCGGATGTCAAGGGGCTGGAAGGGACGGGGTTGTGGCAGTGTAGACGGGGTAGAAGTAGAGGGCGGAGGCAAGAGGGATGAAGTGGGAGACAAAAGGAAGGGAGTTCCTCTGGTCGCTATGTGGAGGGACCTGGCGCCAGATAGGGTGCAGGCAAGAGACGAGGTAGGTGGTAGGGCAGAACACATGGTGACTCCACGGCGTGCTGCGTCAGCTACGTGGAATTCCCAATGTGAGGAGGGGGAAGAGAGGGGGTAAACATATTAAAGAGTGTGGGGCAGACAGAAGGCATGGTGATTCCACGGTGTGCTGCGTCGGCTACGTGGAACCCCCATGTGGATGTTAAGGGGCGGGAGGACGCAGTGGATGTTAAGGGGCTGGAGGACGACGCAACAGAAACGACCCATGGCAGTGTAGACGGGGTAGAAGTAGAGGGTGCAGGCAAGAGGGATGAAGTGGGAGACACAGTCTCCCTATGGTCCCTGTGTGGAGGTTTACTCGGGGGCAGTGGGACATGGCGCCAGTATAGGGTGCAGGCAAGAGATGAAGTAGGTGGTAGGGCAGAACACATGGTGACTCCACGTGCTGCATCGGCTATGTGGAATCCCCAATGTGAGGAGGGGCAGGGATGGGGTAAGCGTTAGAGATATTAAAGGGTGTGGGGCAGACAGAGGGCATGGTGACTCCACGGTGTGCTGCATCGGCTACGTGGAATTCCCAATGTGAGGAGGGGGCAGGGATGGGGTAGAGATATTAAGGGGGGCGGGGCAGACAGAGGGCATGGTGACTCCACGGTGTGCTGCATCGGCTACGTGGAACCCCCATTTAAGGGGCTGGAGGACGCAGGGACGGGGCCATGGCAGTGTAGACGGGGTGGAGAGGTTTACTTGGGGTGGCAGTGGGACATGGTGCAGGCAAGAGATGAAGTAGGGCAGGCGTGCTGCATCGGCTATGTGGCATCCCCAATGTGAGGAGGGGGCAGGCAGTGGGACATGGCGCCAGTATAGGGTGCAGGCAAGAGATGAGGTAGGTGGTAGGGCAGAACACATGGTGACTCCACGGCGTGCTGCATCGGCTACGTGGAATCCCCAATGTGAGGAGGGGGCAGGGAGGGGGTAAGCGTTAGAGACATTGAGGGTGTGGCGCAGACAGTGGGGCCAGTAGAGGGTGCGAGCAAGAGATGAGGTAGGTGGTAGGGCAGAACGCCTCCACGGCGTGCTGCATCGGCGGGGAACCCTCATGTGCAGGTTTGATTGGGTTTGAGGGGGAGGCGCAAGTAAAGGTGCTGGGGGGCAGAGAGAAGGTATGGTGATGCAAAACACGCATGAGCATTGAGGGAGGTGCATATAGAAAGCAGGGTCACTCCACAGTCTGCTGCAAGCTAAGATGTGATGGAAGACTAGGTAGATGTGCTGCGCTCGTTTGGGCCTGGCGTCACAAGTGGAAACGAGCGCGGAGAAGTAGGCCAATCGAGGCTCGGCGAGCAGCCAGCCGCGATGCACCGGGGGTCTCCAGCGGCGATGTAGAACGATTTTTGTAGAAGCCAAGAGGTGGTTGGAGACTGAATGATGCTAGATTTTGTGTTTGTTTGTGATTGGGAGCAGAAGTGGAATGATTTTGTAGAAGCCAAGAGGTCGTTTGAGACTAACTAATGCTAGATTCTGTGTTTGTCTGTGATTGGCAAAGTGGAAATGAGCGTGCAGAAGCAGACATGAGGATGGTGACTCCACGGTGTGCTCCACGGTGTGCTCCACGGCCTCCTGCCGTCCCTCTGCCCGGGCCAAACGTCACTCCTGAACCAAATGAAAAAATCAAGGTTCTGGCAGGCAATTCCACTGTTCCAAGGCACCCAGAAGACACCTTCGAGTCAGGAGAACACCCTGGCACGGCGTGACGGAACAGCCTCCTGCCGTCCCTCTCCAGGCCAAACGTCGCTCCTGAACCGAATGAAAAAAATCAAGGTTCTGGCAAGCAATTCCACTGTTCCAAGGCACAGAGAGCGAGCCAGAAGACTCCCTTCGAATCAGGAAAACATCGTGGCACGGCGTGACTGCCGTCCCTCTGGCCGGCCAAACGTCACTCCTGAACCAATGAAAACATCAAGGTTCTGGCAGGCAAATCCACTGTTCCAGGCACAGAAAGCAAGCCAGAAGACACCTTTCGAGTCAGGAAAACACCCTGGCACGGCGTGACGGAACCTCTGCCCGGGCCAAACGTCACTCCTGAACCGAATGAAAAAATCAAGGATCTGGCAGGCAATTCCACTGTTCCAGGCGCAGAAACCAAGCCACAAGACACCCTTCGAATCAGGAACACACCCTGGCATTGCGTGACGGAACGGCCTCCTGCCGTCCCTCTGC